CCCCATACGTGCCACCAGTGGCAGCGCCAGGGTATGGCTGGGGTAGGCTACACCCATACCAAGAAATGGCTTAGCCCCACCATGAAAATGATGTTAAAGTAAGCAAAATAAAGTCTGCCAACTCGCGCGGAGTAAATTGCACTGACAGCAGTTAGTAAGATTGATTTCAGTAGCCACGGTTTTGAAAACTTTTGTCACGTAGTGATCGTCTTCTCAATAGAACATCTTTGATAACGGCGTGGTGTTGTTGCAGGAAGTCCCGACGGAGAATACTTTTGCTGTAGTACAGGGGTGCACATAACTGGTACGCAGGTTATGTGTGTAATCTGAAATGCGTACCGTCACTTGTGTCACAAAGCGCATTTGCGTACCGACGTACTTGTGAAGCTTTTCCAGAAGGCGGTTAGACGACAGAGTCGGTCTCCGTGTGCACAGACAGGGCTGCTGTTAACGTCGGTCTGTACAACGGAATTGTGCCAAAACTACGCCAACCGGCTGCGGAGGGAGACTCCCCCCCTTCACTGGAGAACTGCGCTAAAACAGCTGATCACAACGTTCACACTCTATGGTCACAAAGTACTCCACGAGCCGCCGCCGCCCCCCCCACCCCCCCCCCCCCCCCCCCCCTTCTGTCGACTTTCCTGAAGTACTCCCCCGTTGATAGAAATCAACACGTAATGAAATAAGACCCCACGGTTTGATGATTGATAGGTGTGTGGGTTGTCTTTCATTTTGACACGCAGAAAATGTTATAATAAACATAGATACTGTATGTTAAATGGATATATCCGCCTTCTTTCCATTCTCACAACAATATACATAAATAAATGGCATATTTTGGAAAATAGTTCGAATGGTGATTAATCATGATTAATTAATTTTTAAACTGTGATTAATCTGATTAAAAATGTTAATCGTTTGACAGCCCTAATATATATATATACTCAATATTGTATTAAAAGTAGTGGATTACTTATTGAATATTCCCTCATCCAGTTTGTTCCCAAGGAGCAGCACATGTACACCGACCATTTACATTAACATTATACACTGTTGTTTTTTCATAATAATAAAAAGTACAACATTGTTTGAACACTAGCCAAAGCAAGGAATAGTTTGTGGCTTTGTTGACAATCGCCAGTGTTAAAAAACTAGAGTTCATCCAATGAAAATCCATGTTAGTCATTCAGCTAACATTGAACTTATTATATTTGACAACCTTCATCTAAGGCCTGTTCTATAATTGTGATTGAAAAAGATCATGGAGGAAGCCATCCCAAGTATATTTTTCACTTGGGTTATAAAGTAAGTGTATAAAGTGCAGAAGTATTATCAGCAATGTGAACTTAAAAAAGGGTATGACTTTTGTCACCTCAATTATATTATACTGATGCATAAACATAGCATTGTAATGATGTTGTAGTAGAGGTATGGCTGATTCAAGTATTTTGTTTATGTTATATAATATTGGACAGTTTAATCTTTGAAAATGAAGCATATTTTCATTGTTAATCATAGGTTTTTGTTTTCACAATCTTAATCCGAAAGTCACTACCACCAAAGCTGCTGGCAAATCAATGTAGTGAAGTAAAAAAATATTTTCATTAGAAAAGTTGTGGAGTGAAAATATGAAATGGCTTCAACTTGAATACAACATTTCAAAGGATGTTATCCATACAAGCCACTCCCTACAAACTACTGTTTTGATCAGGACTGTTTAGGAAAACACCACAACTCCACACCTGTTGTCTCAGAATGTGAGATAGAGGGGGCTTTACTTTGAAGGAATATCCTCCTTTACAAATGTAGGCACACACACAGTACTGTTTTGATTTACTGCTACACAACAGAGGATTGTGAAAGCCAGTGACTGCTCCCCACTTGTTCCTGTTCCTCCATCCTGCAGTCATGGGGGGTTCTCTGGCGCTTAACCAAACACACATCAACGTCTGCCACATTCAACCATAACGTTCACATTTCCAGTACACACTAATGATGTGTTAGTTTTTCCTATGGATGAAAATGTTGTCAGTTAAGACACTTTTAAAATCCATGTACGGCCTGTTAACATGCATCACACATAAGTGACAATAGGTTGTATATTGTGACATCCCCATGGAAACAACAACTGATAGATTTGCGCCAAATAGTTGTGAGAACACACACACACACACACATACGCACATACGCACGCATGCACCCACGCAAACACGCACTATTAAACTACTATAAGGTCACCAAAAGCAACATGCTGTGTGTACATCTTTTGTGCCAACTATCCCTGTAGATGTGACGCCCAGCAGCTCAAAGACAGAAAATCCTGCTCGGCGGTATGACGGGACTTCAAAAGAAAGTTCACTTTTGGGGCTAAAAGGTCTGCGCCATCACCCCCGGCCCCACCGAGGGGAGGCAGATCCCTTTAAATCTCCCAATAATCATTTTCTCGACGATGTATTGTGAAGAAAAAAGGGTAATTTTGGACGGGAGCAGTACATGTGTCCACATTTCTGGGGAAGTTCGTCATTTTTGGGATTATCCCCCATGTGGTTAAGAGTTTAGTGATGGTTACAGCCCAGACAAGAAACGATTATACAGTCTTCAAAACATACTCACGTTTCTCCGTTATCTTCGGATGGGCACCCACCGCAGCACGACGACTAACCAACAAGTTGGACTTCGCATAACGGAAATGTTTGAGAAGCATCTAAGTAACTCAAAACGGTGTCGTTGGTGAGCAACGGGAAACTGGACATCATTGGAAAAGCTGGCATGTTAAAAAAGTCCGTCGCTTTCTCTCTCATTGTGAGTGCACGCCACAGTTCCTCCGCTACAAACAAAAGAGGAAAGAAAACTTTCAGCAACGAACTTGACGGCGGAAAAAAAAGTGGCGACTCCTCATTTCCGCTGTCAAGAAAATATGCCGCGTTCCATCTGTCAGAGTGAATTCACAATCACACTTCCGGCTGCTATCTTTTCAAAATAAGAGGCCTGGTATTTTAATCCATAATATTCCAAAAATATATTGATTTACTTGCAGTTAAAGTAAAATATGGCTTCAAGAGTAGATATATAAAACTAGCATACCATAGGAAATACAAAAAGAACAAATATCTCAAAACATATAGTATTCAAGTAATAGTTAATATGAGTTAATTCTTAGTTACATTTCACCACCAAAGTAAATACCATTATATATTTGTGTGTTGAAGGTAAGTCCTTCATTTCAAATTATACTTGAAGCTACTAATGCAAAATGTAGGCTACTTAAAAGAAGCATAAAAGCATAAAAGTTCAAGTACTTGATCGGCATGCAAAATGGGCACGGCCAGTTGAATGATTTTATATTACACATTGTATTGTGTTGAATGCATTAACATTTAAACAGCATTGTATAACAATGTATTTATATAATGTGCTCATTATTGCATTTTAAAACCCCCCTATCTGCCACATAACTTGTAACTTTAGCTGCCAAATAGATTAACGATGCAAACAACTTAATGTGTTAATTTACTGTGCTCAATAGTTGAACTCTAAAAGGTTACTTTCTTAGAAACTGCACATTATTTGCTTATATTTAGAATATTTGGAAAAAACAGAAACACCTCTGCAGTGCATTCAAGATTACTTTTATGTTGAAATAATCAGACCGGAAGTGAAGTACTGGAGTTAAATACAGTACAAGATGTAAAGTACATAAAGGATCCAGACTTTATCAATAATACAGATACTCAGGTTAACTTTGTTAGCTTTAATATGTCAATATTTGTCACTGTTTTAACAGTCAATTCTACACTGTTAAGTATCCTACACTGTTTGTATGATGGAGCCTAAACTGGACAATAACAAGGGCGGATTAAAAAGAGCATTTGTTGACTCAAAACTCAGGTGGTGCGACCATGGTGTGATATTTTGCTGACAGTCAATCTAAATACAGCACATGAGGTTGCACATGTGCAACCAGAGGACCTCAAGCGTCACATTTGCCTTTTGTATTTATGGTTTTTAAAATTGCACAAAAAGAGATGAGAACATCAAAACAAACGGGTTATCTATTAGGAAATGTATATGTGTTATACTCTAGAGACTAGCTGGGTTCTGTCAGTAGTAATTTACATTCTAATCTCCAGCAAAAAGGAAAGCCTCTTTGAATTCCTTGAAAGGTTTGAGAATACTCTAACAAGACTACAAACTGTGGCACAGCGCCACCTGGTGAGGGTCAGGCTGAACAGCACCAGAATGTGTGGTTTCATGAGGCCTGCCCAGGCTTTACATGAATTCAAGGGATGTGCGATGTTGGTATATTCATTCAGGTACTGTACATAAATAAAAACATGGTACTTTACTTGAGGATTTCCCATTACATTCTAATTTACTTTTCATATTTCAAAACAATCCTACATTATCATGTATGCAAAGAGATGTTACAGAGCTGTGTATAAAGAAAATGAGCCCTACCTTTACCAGCCGAAACATTAGTGAATTAGACATTAATGCATAAATAATTATAATCCAGTGATTTAACAGCATATCCTTCTGAAATGGGACATTCTGCATTATGATTTCACTTTTGGTACTTTAAGGTTACAATCTCGAGAGATCACTGTTATGGCATTTGTATCTATGGCAACAAGCAGTAATTACATGTGTTTATCATTTTTCAGGGATATACACAGTGTTTTAGCTTGTGCTTTCTATCTGGAATGTCACCAGACATATAGTTCTTATTCATGCGAATGTAATGGGCTTTTATCATAGGTTAAATCACCATTATGTTTTATCAATGAAGAATATAATTAACATCTACGCTGTAGTATTTATACTTATACTTTATTAAAACATTTAAGTTCTTCTTCCGCCACTGCCCATCATACTGTTCTGAAAAAGTAACAAATATGGGAGAAAAAAAATCCAATGTCTAAAACAGCCATACTAATTAAAAATATATATATATTTCAAAGAAGAAACTAAACTTAGTCAGATATCGTAATGACACGCAACTGTTCACATCATAACACTGTTTATTTAAGGGTTTACATTCAATTATTTATAAACAAACCTCTTTTCATGGTACCATATCAGAAAAATGTGTCAAATCCACAACATTATTGGTTATTTAAAATAATACTCATATTGTGAACTATAACACTTGATAATACTTGACTACGATTGAGGAATTCAATAGAGAAAGAGAGCCTTGACCATCTTAATAATGTGAATTTAGATTGCATTTCTCTGTTGGCACTACAAATAAATAATGATATGGTTCATTTGACACATTTCTTTACATATTGTTATTATTAAAAAACGACTTTTGTCATCTATAATTACAGTAGTGCTCTTCTGGAGTTCATCAAATTGGCACGAGTATAATTTTGTTGAAATCATGTCAAGAGCATACCACTTTGATGTTGCTGTAAAAAACCTCCACACTTTACCACTACTCCCCACATTGTCATTTCTATACACGTCAAGTGTATAAGAGAAACGATAGCGCTGTGCAATGATGCAGACTTGTCAAAAGTGATTACAAGAGCCTTTGCAAAGAAAGAAAGATAGAAAGAAAGAAAAAAAGGAAGGAAGGAAGGAAGAAAGAATAGCAGCAGTACAGTAACCCTCTCAACACAGTGGCAATGGTTGCAAGAACAATACCAGAGTTATAAAGTTAACATAAGGCAAATATAAATCAAGAGTGCTTTGTGATTGAATATAGAAATACAAAATAATTATAGTAACACAATCATTTAAAAAAGGCCCAAGACTGCTGGTGTTATTTTCCAACATGGAAGAGTAAAATATTGATATAACCAAGAGGTTAAATGTTCACATACAGGTCACAACACACTGTATGACTGAATTAAAATGATTTGATTGTAAAAAAAGGAATTATAACATAATAACTATGGCAAATAAAAAACTCCTGCGAGACAAGACAAAACATCTCCTTCTATGAAATCCAAGAGTCAAACGAGAACTAAGTGACAGACACGTACTCTTGTGACACAGCATCATCTGGCCGCAAGCTAACAGAGGCTAAAAATACCAGTGTGTAGCTCTGAGCGAGACATGCAGCTCCACCACGGCCACTGTCTAGAGGATGACCTTAGCCGCCGCAACTTCTCTCGGTCGAGATGTGCTGCACTCGGAGAACGGAGCGGAAACTGGTCTGGTGTTCCCTGACACTACTTCTTATCTCAAAGTTACAGGAAGCTGGATTGATGTTAATTGTCTTGGTGCCTTTGCCATGAGATTATTAAAATGTCATCAGCTGTACAAACAGTGCTCTTTCTTTATTTCATCATCAATCTTAAAGCAACAGGATGTCCTCTTATCTTTCTCCTCTGTATGCTTCAGATAACGTGTGACTATAGCAACCTGATCCATGGATTAGGATTTGTTTTTACGCAATGTCTCCAGATTGTTACTTGTGTGGCCTTCTTTATTTCATTTGCATAGAACACACTGTTACCATCACGGGCTAGGATCAATAATAAACCTTAATGTGGTGATTTAAGCAGTTATTTTTATGTATTTTCAGTTGCTTAGCACCAGATTTTGCATATAGAGAACATACTTTATCAAGGTTGCTTTAGCTTTAATGAGATCTGACCCCAATACAATTGCATATGTTTGGAATATGTGTAAGCTAGAGGAAGGGAGAAGAACTCTTTAAAATTGGCAATGTAAAAATAAAACAGCGTAGTTCTAAATTAAGTGTCGCATCAGAAAAACTGATGCTTTTAATAAATGATTACCATTTTAATTGTCAAATATTTATAATTGTCCTTGGCAAATGACATTCAAACCTGTTAGCATACTGTGATTAAAATGTGTTGCGTTGTACAATGGATAGTGTTAATGTTTAAGAAAGATTGATTCCCCTGTGCCAGCCAAGATATGGAATCAATCTCGTAATCTATTTGTCTTTTTTTATCTGTGATAAGACTGCAATGTGCAAAAAAGGTCTCAGTTTTGTCGCTCGTCTGTTGGGTCGCAGAATGATCAGGAAGGAATAATAAAACTGTGGAAAAAGAGATAACCTATCTCAATAAGTTCACTTGCTCTGCAGCCACTGCACTCTCACTTCCTCCACCTCTTTGCCGTACCAGTCATGGAGTTTGGAGAAGCAGCCGGTGCCAGGGGAGACGGGGCTTTCTAGAGAGGCTCCTCGTCTCCTGCGTGGCACCGGTGGAGCCCTCGCCCCTGGACCACTGTTACTCCCAGAGTCTGAGCAGGCCTCCCAGGCCGCACAGGAGGACGCTTCCTCAGCAAAGCCGTTAGCCAATGAGACTGCTGGTTTACTCCACGCAACTCCGTTCTCCTTGGGACAATCAGACATGAGCTGCACCTCATCCTGGATGCTCCTCTGGGCAGAATAGTTGACTGCCATGGGAGGGGCCCCTGATGATGAGGATAAGGAGGATGTAGATGATGAAGATGAAGAAGAGGATGCTCCTGATCTGGACCGTGAAACTTGGTGTCTCCTGGAGGGCTTGGACCTGCCCTGCAGGCCTCCAGCCCCGACGCAGTCTCCTCCTGCTGCCTCCTGGATCTCCTCCAACTGCCTCTCCAGCTCCTTCACCACCAGCCTCATGTAGTCAAAGCTGGCCCTCGACAACGCTTTCACCCACGACTCCATGCCTGCTTGGTTGTCAGAAGCCATCTTGTACACCCGGGCTTTGGCACAGTCAAACTTGACGGCAAAGGCGAACTCCTCGGCTGACTCGCACAGCTCCACGGTGCATCCTTCAAGGACGATGACACCGATGGGCTCTCGGCTCTCGCGCTCCTCAAAGTAGAAGAGCATGTTTCCTTTCAGGACAAACCAGCGCCGGTGATACGCTGTGTTGCGCTCACCCTTTTTGAACAGGAAGCCTGTCTTGTCTGGCGGTGAGTCACAGGTGGCGTAGTGCGCCACGCTGCGTTCGTTCAGCTTCATCCCTCCTACTTTTCCTCAGCTGGTTGTTTATACACCTTGGAACATTGTAAATGAAAGCCAAAGGGATTACTCAATATTCACACTCCAATATTTTTGCCAAGTTGGTTTTCACATACAAGGAATTTGCTATGGTGTATTGGTCAGAGACAAGAAACATTAATATAAAGTAGAACACTTTTTTTTTAATGTCAATTCAATTACACAATGTAACTGTATAAAAAGAAAGAGCTAGGCAGAATGTGCAAGTATATAGTCAAGGAGATATGCACATGTTTGCAGAGATGCAAATGTACAGAGATAATAGTCCAGAAAGATGTGCATCAAAACGCATTAACTACGCTAAAGTAATGTAGTTCAAGGATGTCACAAGACTCTGTGGCTTTTCCTTTCAGCAGGTTTGGCTTATTCAAAAGTTTATTTATAAACCACATTTAAAAGTGATTTTTGGTCGGGCCAAAGTGCTGTACATGTAATAAATACTACAATCACTTAAAAACACATTACTACAATCACAATAAAAGACAATAAATTACAACAGATAGAAAACACAGGGAAAAGTCAGGAGTCGTGCTCCGCTCTGACTAAAAGGCCAGGGAGAAGAAGTGTGTTTTAAAAGTAGATTTAAAAACCCCTAGGGTCTGGGCCGACCTCACATGGAGGGGCAGAGTGTTCCAGAGCCTGGGGCCAGCTGCTGCGAAGGCTCGGTGCCCTCGGGTTTTGAGCCTTATTAGTTCCCTCTTGTGTTTTAATCAGTGTTACTCAAAGAAGAACCTGCTTACTCTTTGCCCTCAGTGCTGCTGGCTGTATACTTTCAGTTTATTGACATGGTAATATCATATTAAAGGATGTGAGTTGTTTTATGATCAGTAGGCGGAACAGTTTATTTGCAAGTCTCTTGTTTAAAAATAAATAAAAAGAGGTCAGCACAAAGGGTAAGGTACAAAACAAAAAAGATTGGACTCCTGGGAACTTTAGAGGGGAAGATGTTTGCCGAGGTTCAACCTACATTCTCTGGTCTCCTCTTTCTGAGTCCTCCTGCCAGCCTTCATGGCAGTGCAAACACCTTTTTTTGTGTTTACCCATCACACTAAAGGTGCATAGACATAACCTCTGGCATGGTTCTGCTACAGTAAAACCATATTGTAGTATAAAAAACGACTCAATGCCTAAAATGTGTTGTGTTATCCACATGTTCAACTGTAAACTAGGACTCAGCCTTCCCTCTTTGTAAACAACAACTAATCCAACTAATCTGTTAAATTATAGCACTGGATAATGGTGTTACTTCTCCTATCACCTTATATAGCAATGCGTTTGTGTTGTAGCTTCTGCATTTTGTGTTAATTTAGTTTTTACTTACGTGTTTATCTCATAGCCACCACTGTCCTCTTGTCACATCTGAAGCTCATTACTTAAAATGTCTCCATCTTCTTTTGGCTTTTTCTGTCCCTCCAAATAAAAAGAAAGATATGTTACACACACTTACTCCAAAACGGCTGGTATTATCAATCAGATCGTAGTGTCTCTGTTTTGTACAAGAGCTTGTGGCAAATAAGCCAAGTTTGTCTCAGACATGAGAGGCTAACATGTCACACATTAGCAGTTTTTTCCACCTCTGCTAGCAACAATAGTTTGGACGAATGATTCAGACTGCTGGCTGCTTTCTGGGAATGGTCACAAGCTTTTGACACATCAGCACTTTGCGAAAATGTATCTCGGGATACATCTAACATATTCAGTAGTACAACAATTTACATGAACACTGCCGGAAATAAAGAAAGTCTATCTCTGTGTTAACTAGCTTAACGCATTAGGCGTCTTTCGTGAATACAAATGAGCATCTGGCGTCAGCATTTTCGACTGAGCACTAGCTAGCACCTACAGTTGTGCACTGGCAGTTAGTCAGACCCACATGTATGGCAGTATTGTGGTAAATAACTATTAATTACCTGGAGATAAAGACGCCACCGCCTGTCATATAGATAAAATCACTGTCGTTTGTTTTTGCTTTATCTCTCTTCGTACTTTCTTTCCTTTTTCTTCCCTGTAACGTGACCGACTGAGAAGCCGCATTGTTGTTACAGCACGACCAGCACGACTGGGCGGGGACGCGATTACAGCTCTCCTGCGGATGGAACGTTCTCCATCCGGATGAGCTGTGCGTTAAAACAAACGCACCCTGTGTTTGCCCTTGGAGTGGGTGCGTTTAGACAATATTGCTACAGGCTGATTGTAGCTGGCTCCATGTATGGAGAGCCATCTGCAACATTTTAGCTTGAGCCCCTTAACATACAGCCAATTCCAACCCCAATTTTGTCACACGTAAACGGCAACGCCTTTTTGTTTTTAGTTGTATTGTTTTAAAAAAGCAACATCACTCGGCTTGTCTGATGTGGAGAGAAAAAGGAGAGCCTGATCATGCATCACAAGAAGGTGCTGTAAGTGGCCCAGGATTTTGCAGGAGTTGGATTACAATGTAACAAAAGTGCATCATAATGAGAGAAGAGGAGTATTAAAGTCCCACTATATTAATTCAAAGCTACTGATGGTGAACCGCAGCCAATCATAGCATCTCATTGTAGCCGACAGCATTCTAAACACACACTGCAAGAGTAATTACACCTAGCATCCATGCACAAAACATGTAATAAATGAGCAGTTCATGCATGATGCATGTTGCTATGCATACTAATTGATGAAAATGTGAAGGCTTACAAAAGGAGATGGAAAAGCATTTGAATGAACTGTTACAAGCAGGGTTAATGTAGGTTAATTAGACTATAGTCAACAAAAAATACTTATTTTTCAAGGATCCAACTACTGACTGACTTAACTCAGTGTAGCTACAGGAGATGTAACATCAATTTGTTTTCCAAACTATGCCCATTGGTTTATAGACCTGTCACTGGAGTTAGTTCAGAATATGATGAGCATTACAATACATTCATTTTATTGTGAATATAATAATGTTTTAACTGCTAACATTGACAATAATGCCAATGATTATTGCCAAGTTATTAAAAACAAGTTTTTTTTCTTCAGCAATTTTTTTTGCCATTTACATATCCTGAGAGCTGCCCGGTGAAACCTTCCTTTACCATTTTAACTTTTTTGAGTTCGTTGCCATCTCGCCCAAGCATACGAAAACAGTGAGCTAAAGATGTACTATTCCCATGCAAATGTTCTATGCCCATTTTGTGACATTCCAGTATTTGCTATCCTGTGACCCTGTCCTACATTGAAGGCATGGAGATTTGGCTTTGGCCCGTTTAATTACTGTGTACGATCATGATGAGTCACTGTGAATTCATTGGAATGTCTTCTGGAGACAGCTGATGGCCTTTAGCATCGCCAGCCTGCTATCTCATCACACTAATCTTCAATTAACTGATGCAGCTGCTGGTGCCATTTCATGTAGGATATTCCTCTTTCTGAAAGGTTTCATCACACTGTGTTTTGGTAGCTTGGATTAAGGGTGATGATCTTGAAGCCGGTTTAATTTCTTCTATTTAACTCACAGTTCACAAAGACTTGACACTGTGAAGATGCTTTTTCAAGACAACAGTTAATGCTAAAGACATCAAATCAACCATTTCTGAACTTGAATCATTCGGTCCATAAAATACACAGACACGCTGACATTTAGTGTAAAGTGTTTACTTCTCACAGGGTATTTTCCAACATTTTGTGAAAACACGACAAAATATCACCAAAAGCTTTTTTCAGACAGTCCATAAAACTCATTGATCCAGAGTGATTCATTCATGAATTCAGTCTCTGTGTCCAGTGAGAACAAAGAGGTGGAGTTTAGAAGTGTGATGCCTCCCGTCTGAATATGAAGAGAGGCTGTGTTGTTGCTCTCCAGTGTACCTTTCCAAATGTTATTGATCAAAAATGGCCTGTCTCTTATTGTCTGTTTCTTTATATTCAGTTTGTCCTGATGGCACACTCTATAATCTCTGGTTTATAAAGTGCTATACAAATACAATGTATTATTGTCCGTATTTGATTGGTCCAAGCAAAGTAGACATTTGACAGTTTTAAAGTGGCTGCAGCGACTTCATATGAGGAAATGAGGGGGAGTGCTGCATGTTGGAGCAACCAACAGACAGCCTCTCCACAGAAATGCATAGAAAAACACAGTGATGGCAAGACAAAGTGTAGAGTCAGTCATGCATTTATTCAGCCCCAGTTCTACCATGTGATAAAGCACAACTAGGTATTTGGTTTACGCCTTTAATCTTCTCTACCTTACATGTTCTTCTCACAGCAGCCCATTCTGTCAAGTTTCTTAAAGTGATATGACTGAACCACTTGTTTTCATCCATACAAACAACATCCTGTTGCTATATATAAATAACTCATCATGCTATACCCTGCTGAAAAAACGCACCTTGAGGGATTGTCAGCTTTCGTCAAAATACCTCTCAGTCATCCCACACAATATAAAAAATATCATCTCTTTAAATGTTAAAGTCTCTGTAGAAAAATGCCTGAAATATATAGATATCAAACATGTTTATGTGTATTTGTATACAAAGAAAATGTGATGCAAATTATTACTTTTTCCACGATCTTTTAAAGCTGTAACTATGGTACGAATGTATTTCTGCATGTTATTGTGAAAAACGTATCTTACATGGCACCAGAGCACATAGATGTTGATGTACGGTGAACATGTCTGGACACAGATCAGCGACCACATCTCCATTTATTTCAAAACTTTCAAAAAATACACTATGACTGACCATGGCGTACACTGACCAAATGTCATTTTTCTCCTTATCTGCAGTCGAGAAGCTCACTCGCCGGCAAACAATTACAATTCTTAAAAGGCAAATTCCACTGCTTCAGTGGAGCTATTGATTTCTATCTGAGTATGCACAGAGCAAAAGTCTGTGTAGACATCAATCAAATACTGGCCGACATTATTTCACCCCATCTTGTACCTCTTCATCTTAACCTGCCTCTTTACTTTCGTGACAGGGTTTCAGCAGCTTTCTAATCTTTATTACAGCTATTTCTATGCAACAAAAATATCTCCTCCTCTATAAATTCATCTACACTCACACTTACTGATGCCCAGTTTCACAGTTATATCACCCTGACACTGTTATGCCTGGAGGTTGTTCAGTGCTCTTTAAGTCTATAAGTGTCTAAATGATCTCCTGGTGATTGAAATCCGTTAGCGATTTATAAAAATAAATAAAAGTAGATGCTTGGCCTCAGCTCTGGCTCCTCGTGCCTCGGACAACCAGGGTCGATCAGTGTATGGAACAAGCATCCCTTCCACTCGTATCTCAAGTATCTCACTGGGCCCTGGAGAGGAAAAAGAGGAATCACATTAGTGAGAGTTACTAACTGCAAATGAGGAGAGACTTTTGACAGAGCAGTCACAGCACCAACAGTCGCTTTTCACAGCAAAATGCAAATATACCAAGGTATCATTGCCAATACACAAGCACCCAGACACACACAAATCGTGAAAGTTAAAAGGTTTGGCATATTTTCAAAAGGGAAGGCTTTTTAAGCCTTCCCTTTTGTGAAAAGCTTTGTGTCTCTCCGTAAATAGCTGCCATTTTCCCAGCATTTCTTAGTCAAGTCTGCAGTGGTTCAATGAGCAGAGAACCCCATCTGGATCCTTGAGGCTCTTGTTGAGATATTATGTACCGTAAGGTGCAGCTGATGCTTCTAACTTTTAACAATCTCCAAAGCAGCGTGAAATCCTCATATTAAGTTTGTTCATCCCCAAAGCTTTGTAAATTGCACTGAGCCATCTCAAGCCCTTTGACTCTCTCACACACATGGCTGCATGTGCTATTGCATGCCTTTTGCACTCTCGTGCACAAGCCTGTCTTTGACATTAAAATGTATGCATATGAGTGTGCACACACATTTTGACAAGGACACACAAACATGCCCACTCACTTTCCCACATCATGACTTTGTCTGAGTCACCGAAAAAGAAGCACCAAGACAAGCCTCTATCCATGCCCAAAGTGCACCAGATTTACTTTTGAATGTTTGGCAATGTAGGTCACTTTCTAATGAACCTGGCTTATTGTATCTCTATTACAGAGGTAAAGCCTCTGGCACGCACCACTATAATTATTTAGCTTTCATGTGTTTAATGTTTTCCTCATAACATTTTCAATGATCATAATGAACTGTTCTCCATTGAGGGAAACACAAATCAAAGTAAATGATGCATGCAGAAAGGGATAAGCAAATAGACAAGTGTGTCTCATGGCAGACTATCACCACTAACAATCAGATGGAGAAACAACAGCTAATTAATATTCACTGGCAAAATATGTGTCTCACTCTGATACATTGGTGGAGTTTTGTTGCACACTGTAGTGTGGACATGCCAGGTTGGAAAAAAGGATAAAGACAATAAAGTTAGAGGAATAACTAAAAGCAAACATGTGCCTATTATAATGAGACATCAGAGTAACAGGTTTACATTTACAAATATTTACAAAGACTGTAACAATCCAAGCATATGAGATGTTACACTAATTATGGAAGAAGTGGGTTATCTGACACCAGCAGGACGTGGGGTTGAAATGAGCAAATACCTTTAAATGGAGGATCTACTGCACATTATTATTTATTAACAGAAACATAACAACCAGGAGAAGATTTTTTTTTTTTTTTTCTCACGAAGGCTGTTAGTAATATAAGGTTAGGAAACGAAGGATGGAGAGAGTGCTGCAGCTCTAGAAAGAAAAAGTCAGTGAACTCTTTGATTAAAAATTGAAAGGTTGCCAAAGGTGTTGCTGTACGAATTGTCAGATATGCTATGCTAATAGATACTTCACCCACATAATAGAGCTACATGTGCGCAAAGAGATTATGCATACAGCTGCTGCCTGAGTGGGAGTAAAGCATCATCCAAGGGGAGAGGAAGAAAGAATTAAAGAAAGAGTGAGAGAGAGCAAGTCAAGGAGAGAGAGAGAGCGAGAGAGAGAGAGATGTGGGCTATGAACTGGAGCTGTAGGGAGTAGGTCAGTGCAATTGAGTCAGTCCTGACTCATGATGGAGGCGGTGGAGATCCACCTCCTCCCTGCCCATTACAGTACAACTTCATCCTCAAGCCTTGAGCACTGGAGCTCAGATAGCCATTACAAAAACAGTGAAAAACTCCTACATGCATGGTCAGAGGAGCAGTGGTTCCTGTGGTACAGGAACAATCTGATAACAAGTCATGGAGACACAGTGAATGATGAATACAAACATCAAGGGCCCATTTTGGAACAAGAGGTGGTCAGCCGGCACAACACTTCATAATAGTTTCTCCCCCATCCCGCTGTGAGGGCCATTCAATCATGGACATAATATGAGGTTTGAACTGATTTATGTGAAAATAATGACCTTTATATGTTATCTACAATAACATGTAACAGCATAGGGGAGATTAAAAAGCAGGATATGTCTTGACATTTTATATTGTTGAAAGTGCAACAATAGGCTTGACATTGTGGATATAATTGAGTTACTAGATTTTTTTGTACTGATTGGAATGTGCCCTAATCCCCTAGCATCGAATTAAATCTGATTACAGAAAGCCAGCAGTGTTTGGTCCATCTGATCATCATTTGTCAACTCTCTTTTATTCAGGCAACGTTTTTGTTAATCTGCTTGTGTTTGAGCAATATTTAACACTTGAGAATTCTACACCACAGCGCATGCAACATAACCAATACCATATTGATTTCAGCTGGTTGACCTTTTTGAAGTATGTCATACTCCCACACTCCCCTGTTCCCTGTCTGCTTCTTCACTGTAAACTGCCCAATAAGGGCGAGCATGCCTACTAAATATATGGGGGGGGAAATGGTATCAAGTGGGAAAAAAATGTAAACGATATACTAGCTGAAAACCACTACAATGTCCATCAATGTAAATGATCAAAGGTGTCAACATTTTTAAGGCATTCTTAACTATTGAGTTGCAACATGTACATATCATCCAGGTATTTTTACTTCAGTGAGGTGGCTGTTGACCTAAATAAATAATTAATTTAACCTTATATTTCCTAACACAGTTCAAACCCTTAAATCTAACGTCCAGAGAGAAAAGACACACACACCCATGGACAAGAAACGAGGTGCAGAACTCCGTTTTCCTGTGTATTCTGTAAACGATACAATGCCAAGGCCACTGTGTCAATTGAATAGTACATTAGCCACTAGTCAGTGCTACAGTAGCAAAAGCCCTTCTGAGCTGCATGTATTGATAATACATGAGGTTCATAACCAACTGTAAACCCCTCACACACTATTGCACGCTGCACTCTTTAGTCAACTGGACATCATTATCAATGCGCAGATCACTGCACTGGTACAAACTCATCTATACCGCTATGCTTGGACTGCTGCCCCTCTACATATCCACTTACATATCACACAAACAGTACAGCTATAGACTACGATCTCAAAATTCCATCACTCTGTCCGTCACCTCAGTACGCATGGTGCATCATAGTCTGCCCCCTCGACCTGGAACACACTTCAGCAGGAACTTCAGCTGACCAGTTTGATACCCATCACAGATTTTAAACTAATTTTAAAAAAGCTGGAGAAATCATCTGTGGGTGTTTGCACCTGCTATATCTGACTACTGTATATGGATTTCAATGACTACTTTTTACGATGTTTTATTTGAGTGTTGCCACTGTGTTTAGTGTCCTGTCTGTAACTTTGTGTGGTAGACTAGTGTTGCCACTGTGTTTAGTGTCCTGTCTGTAACTTTGTGTGGTAGACTAGTGTTACCACTGAACAGGTGAAAATGAGACCTTGTGTCTCAATGAGATTTTACACCTGTATAAGTAAAGGCTAAAAAAAAGAAATAAAAAATACTGGCTGCACTCCACTCTATAGCATGCTGAGTGACTTATTAAGATCCATTCACACAAGGCAAATACAACGGTTGTTCCACACTCAGAGCAATCATCTTGAGGACAAACATACATCCACATACAATACAACCAAAACAGCATCAGCCTTCACCGCAGCACCGTTTGTCTTTTACAGTCTCCCTCTCTGCCTCCCCATCACACATGCTCTCTTCCCTCTCTCTGCCACACTTTCTCTCCACCTCTGTGTTCTCACCCACCACACTCTCTTACTTGTTTTTCTCATGGCTGAATATCCACTGATCCCTAATCCGGACGGTAATTTTAGATTTGAAGGTCAACGAGGTCGTGCTTTAGATTTACTCATAAATGGGTGCTTTTTCATACCCTGACTTCATCAGTCTTAGCTTTTAGGCTTCCGACCTCCACAACTTTGAACACACACACACACACAAAATATTCTTTTTATATAATGTCATGTCCTCTAAACACACACATTCCTCACACTTCTTTACCTTTTCTCACTTACTTTAGTTAGCGTTCTCTCTCTCCCTTTTCTTTCTGTCCGTTTATCATTCAATATAAGTGCAGCTGCAGCGGTTCAGAGCTTTATTGAGGGTAGTGTTGGTACAAAGGCTGTCTGAGCAGTACTGTTATCTCCTGTATTCTAATCCGGCTAATTAAGGGCATCGCTAGAAGGAAAGTGCTACTATTCTCATCCATCTCCAGGGCATGCTGTCTCCCCAAGTCTGCCAAACTGACATGTGCTTTGATACACACACACAAAGACAGTGCACAGACACACTTAAAAACTGCTTGATACTCAATTAAAAACTGATTTTAGACTAGGGGTGTGACAATACTGTATACCAGAATTGCTTATCACCATTTCAAATATTACATTTTAACATTTTCTAAACAGACAAATAAGATTATCGTGCCGGCAGATTGTTTATCAGTTCATCTGGGTGCCTTTTTCACTATCCATTAGTGTAATCGTTATTTTATTTTGCTTTTGCCCAGTCATGGTAACATACTCTCTCTCCACACTAGTATTTTGAACGCAATACATTTGTCAAAATAGAGACAAACTGCACAATAAACAAAGCTAAACTGGCTTCATTAAACATGCTGCGTAATAAAGGCTAATAAAGTGGAGAAAACAAACTGCTTATATAGACGATGACAGCGATATTACTGCTGATTTATATTACCTTGCGGAAATAAAGTAATAAAGAAATAAAGTCCAGCATGTCTGTGCCTGAATCTCTCCACGCAAGAGCAGAATCTATTAGCTTTCTGCTCACGTTGTCTCACAAATATCACACTGAGTGATAGTGGGGGACTGGACAAATGGGAGCTGAGTTGCTAAACATGAAATTATATTAGAAAATGATAAGCAAGATTCTTTAAATTACAATTCGCTACAAAGCTATCAGTATACACAAATCAAAAT